AAATGTTTTATAATTTGTGTATGAATAATACCTACATAGATTCAGCTCCTTGAGAACCAATTACCTTTTCGGCCTTTTTTGAGGAGAAAATTAGCAAATGACTTCTCCCGCCGGGTAAGTCATTTTGTTCCTTTACCTGCTCGAGGCGCTGTTATTATATTAACGCTATTATTAGTATGACTTGGAATAAATTATCGTCAAAAATGTATTATGTAACTAACTAATACATAACGTTGATATTTTACTTATTTCCATTAAATTCATTTCATATTATTTCAACGGCATGTTCTTGTACCAAGTTGTGTCATTTTCTTTTACATCATCAATAAATGAGTATAATAATATGGCAAGGCTTAAAATAAAGATGTCTGCGTTCTTTTTCTTTTCATTTTCGTGGAAACAGACCTTCAACCTGTTTGCAGTTTGTTAATTGAGTTCTTAACGGCCAGTATTTTATGGAACGTTTCCTCAAAGATAAAATGACTGGCATTCAATAATTTTAAATCTGAATATGAAAATGAATAAAATGACTGATATTCAATAATTTTAGATCTTATTAGGGCTTATTTTCAATATATTATTAAGTACTTATTTCTACATATATTATGTATATTAAAAAACGATAGACCTTTTGAGTTTCTTTGTTAGTGTATGTAGAATTTTTCAAAATGTGTAAGCTATCTTCATCTGTACGCTTAACGAACAGAAATGTAATCGAGAACGGGATATATTTCAACTAATCCAATTCAATCAATGTTGTTTACATCATTTGAAAAATCTTTCTGTATGAGAACTTTTTTAAATTCAAAATAAATTCTAAAAAAAAACAACTTTTGAACTTTGCACTTTTTGTAGTCGGTTAAAAATTATGAAGTTTAGATTTAGGGTCTATTTTTAACAATGTATTTTTATAAATAACCGCTAATTATCTGATAATTTTAAATATCGAACGTATGTGAAAGTGGTGAGGTTCGGGAAATAAGACGAAAATTAAGTACTTATATCGTCGCATTAAATATTTGAAGGAAACTACCCGATTCTTTACATGTGACTTGAAGCAATGTTTTGGCGCCTATTATCTGTATCACGTGTATAAATCGTAAAACATTTTTTCACTGAATTAGTACATATTTACGATATCTTATCTATATATTTAATTGGTATTTGTAAGGGCGAGTTCAGAATGACATAGTGTATTTCAGATATTTTTTAAACTGGCCCCACTCATTGATGATTTATTTGTGTATACAAATCCACAATTTCACATACACATATATTGAGAACAACAGTTTCTGGATGACACCAATATGTCTCGTGCGGGAAACGAACGCGCACAGCCTTGCACGGAAACTGTTTGCACAGCTACGACCGCGACCACCGTGCAACGATTATCATCATACAAAAAAGGTACTTACTACTACACACATCTGTAATTTTATAGAATGCAGATAAAAATGTAAGTTTGAGATCGTAATTATCATACCTTAATTTTTTGCGCGGTAGAGTCATGCTTTGGCACAGTGTACAGTGGTATATCTCTCCCGGAGCCGGTCCATTCGTCCTTGAAGCCACTGCTTAGCTCATGAAGCAGTGGCTTCATAGAAAACCGATGTGAAAATTCATCCAATTAGGTACTTATCCCGCTCTGGGTAAGGCGGGAGGCTTTTAGGTACTTACTTAAATAATGTGCTTGCACTCATGTTTTATAATTAACCTACAAATAATAATATGTGTATTGGTACTAACGATCATTTAGTGGCGGTTTCTGATTCGATCTTCAAATCTTTAAGACATAAGCTTACCTCAGCTATTCTTTCTTAAAAGGCCAGCAACACCTGTGTCTCCTCTGGTGTCACGGGTAGCGCTGATCGTTTACCATCAGATGACCCTACTGCTAGTTTGTCTCATACATCATTAAAACAATAAACTTTAAAGAAAAACCATTATCTCAAATTTTTTCAAACTTTTCCATCATCAGCCTATAAGCGCCCACTGCTGAGCAAAGAACTCTTATATTATGGAGAAGGTTGGAAGGGAGGTCCCGCATTGAGCAAGCATTAATCACCATGCTTGCTCAAAGCGGGTTGGCGATTTCAAACTTATGAATATAGATTATAAGTCCAGGTTTCCTCACGATGTTTACCTTCACCGTATGTCATTGGTGTCTAAATAATCATAGAAACTACATATAACTCGGAAAAAGTCACATTGTTACTTGCCAGCTTTCTCATTTGGACTCATGCATGAGAAGCGGGCTCCTTGACCTCCGGGCCATCACGACATTGAAACTATTTAATGATAGCTATATTAAAACACATCTCATGCTTGTTGCCATGATAACATTTTTTAGTCTGTGTTCCTACGCTATAACGGGAGAGGTCGTGTCGCGACCTCTGTGACGTGTTAGCGTAATTCGTAGTGTACCGTGATAATCATTATGTCAGACCATGTGCTTGTGGAATGTGGACAGATGTATTGTTTTTTTTTAAATACTGGACTCCTTCGTTATTTCTTATTACTTACTATCCACCCCACTCGCGCTGGCTTCGCGCGTGTGCTATGCTGATACTAGATTTCTTTGCTATTGTATGGATGTTATTATACAAATAAACATCATCAGCCCCCTGCTGAGCAAAGGTCTCTTCTCACACGGAGAAGGTTTTGAGCATTAACCACCACGGTTGCTCAATGCGGGTTCATCATCAGCCTATAAGTGCCCACTGCTGAGCGAAGGCCTCTTCTCACACGGAGAAGATTAGAACATTAATCACTACGCTTGCTGAATGCGGGTTGGCGATTTCAAACTTAAAATTAGAAATTATAAGTCCAGGTTTCCTCACGATGTTTACCTTCACAGTATGTCAGTGGTGTCTAAATAATCATAGAAAGTACCTAGGTACTTTATGTACAAATACATGTTTCTCTTCAATTACTCTATCTAATAATTCACCTAACCTGAAGCAAACGCCGGCGTTCGCGCACCTATTGTTCTTCTGTTATGTCTTGAATACCACAATTGAAAGTTAAAAAAACCGCATCATATTCCGTTGCGTTTTTTTAAAGATTAAAGCATGCATACGTATGTAGGGATTAGGAAACCGACTCTGTTTTATATAGTGATTTATTTAACAGTTCATGCACAATGGGAACATATGCGGACTAACGCCTTAGAAATTTTCTATCAGTAAAACCTTGGATGATGCAGAGATGAGCTACTGGACAGTGCAAGAAGCAAGCAAACAGACTTAATTTTATATACCTCATAGGCAATAGATACTAATTGACTTGTGCTCTGACTACACGAGACACTATGTATATGTTTTCTATTAAGCCTTGTAATCCGGCAATCAAGTGGTTAATAATTTACATAATGCCCGAATGTATGCTAGTATCACAGACGGGGCCCTATAGGGCTGATGTTCAGCCGGGGTTGCGGGGTAAGCGCAATGAGGCACAGCGACCTCGGCCTAGAACAGGAGAAGGAACAGGGGAGTTTTTTAGTCAGTAAGAGTCTGACACTCCCTCCCACGGGAGAAGTCATTTGATGAATTTCCCCTCATAAAAAAAAAATATGCTAGTATAACTGGCGTGGATCGGACATTATTTCAAATTGCGTGCTCTCCTTGCTTCGCATTCCTCATTGCTGAGGGTCGTGACCTCCCTTCGGTATCACCTTCTCCCGTACGATCTTCCTCCATCCAATTCTGTCTCTGGCGGTGTGAAGGGCGCCGTGGATGGTAGAGTCCAAAGTGGTGCGGATCTGATCGGACCAACGTATCGGGCTGCGACCACGAGGCCTTTTCCCCTCCATTTTTCCGGTCACAATGAGTCTCTCCAGCTTGTTTCCCTCTTTTCTTGCAATGTGACCGAAGTATTCAAGGACTCTACGAAGGCACACGGATGACAGTCGTGAGGAGATCTTGAGTTCACGCAGAATTGAGACGTTGGTTCGAAATGCCGTCCAGGGAATACGGAGCATCCTCCTCCAACACCACATCTCAAAGGCGTCCATTTGTTTGCGGTCCGCTGCCCTAAGAGACCATGTCTCCGCGCCGTAACAGAAGATCGAAAAGACCAGGGTCCGCACCAGCCTGGTTTTGGTTTTGGTGCTACAATAGCAAATTGCGTGCTACAATTAATAATTTCGAATTATCTAAAATATACGATGTAGATGGATAGTGTGTTACTATGCTCGCACTGGAAAAATTTTGATGCTGATTAAAAAACCCATAAATACGAATACCTTGGAACCTTATATCAATATTTCTGTTCTCACTCTGTCAATGTGGTTAATAGCTTATAATTGTCTTTTTCCACAGTCACAACCAGATATTAAATTTCCACCATGGTCATTTTTTCAATTTAAATATGGCTTTAATTAATTCTACGAAAGAAAACCTTTTGACAAAAATTACACGTGTCAGTTAACCTTAAAGAAAAACAAGTAAACGAGAAAAAGCCGCCAATTTATTTTGAAGAACTGCAACTTGCAAGCAACCACAATAAAAAATAAAATTGATTAGGTATTTCTCGAATGACTTAAAGACAATCGGCTATAAAATGGCGGGCAAATTGTACACAAGAACTAGTATTGTTTATGGCCAATGATTTTAATATTTTTTCAACCATAGTCACAACCAGACAATCCCGTTTTCATCATGAACCTTTTTACAAAATGATGCGTATTTAGGTACACCTGTCTATGACATAACCTAAAAAAACGAATGAACGACAAATCTTACTACGAAAATAATGCCGCCAAATCATTTTCATATACTACACGCAACCGCAGTGACAAAATTTAATTGATAGTTCCTTGAATAACGTAGAGACAATCGGCTATAAAATAGCGGGCAAATTGACGAGGTTGTATGTACTTTTAGGGCATGCCCAACTGTAGGAAGCAAACACTATTAGCAAAGACGTGTCCTCTTTGTTCAAGCACTCGGTCGCATGACACAACCATAATTACTCATCAACTTGCTCGTACACCATAAAGAATCCACACAAGAACACAGATCCTATAATTTCTTCGTCCTGGCACATTGACTTAGTAAATAGTTCGAAGGCGGTGGGGAGCCACTCAGGGATGTCGAAAATCTTGAGCGAATAAAACACATAGCTCCTTGCTTTCACCTCAAACAAAATGAGTCGTGCGCCCGTCCGCCTACCATCCAACCGCGAGCCTATTGCTAACTAAAACCGCAGCAAAACGGACGCGGACAGAATAAAAAAAAATACGAACGTCAAAAAAGTTTTTATTAAAAAGAAAAATCAAATAAAAATTTAAAACAAAGTGTTATTCGAAAATCGAACGTTCAGTGAAAAATGGATTGATTGTTTGAATCTAGAATTAAGTTTGAAAAATAATATTTTTCTAAATTCATTTTGTTAGTTATTATTAAAATTAATAAATTTTTAACAAAAATGAAAATGGCCGACCGTTGTGTTTTGTCTCTGTTGATGTTATGTTTGACTGTTATTTGCCATAATGGAGAAGCTGCGGAAAATGCGAATGCAGCTAAAATACGTAAGTATTCCTTTACAATATATTTAATTAAGAGTAATACTTCATTATTTTTAATTTCAGCTGCTCTTAAAGACTATCAAACTTCATTTATGTAATATAGATAAGATTATTTTTTTATTTTAAAAAGTCTCGCTAAAAAGTCACAGTTGAATTTAGTTTTTTTTTGTTTTCCTAACGTAGGTAGGTACATAAAACAATTTCTTGATTATTAAACATAGTAAAGCCTTGTTTTCAAATTATTGGAACCAAGTTTTAATTTACCTATGCGATTAAAATATTCTCAAATGCACGCTAAAACCAAATATAGCAATGAAAATATAACATTCCAAGAGGCAAACTAAACGAAATATCTCTAATGGATGTTACTCAATAGCATCTGTTGACAAGTCAACAAATGACATAATAATAATAATAATGTCAAAATATGCATAGGTACTATGCCCTGTGGTTATGTCAAAGAATTCAACTCAAAGCGTAGGTACGTATTTTCATGGTAATTAGATTGTCTTGATCGCTAGCAATTTATGAATTCCAACGTATCTTGTTAAAGTTAGGTGATAGAATTAATTGAAGACGAAAATCAAGTTGTTTTGACATAATTAAGATGTACATTTAGATGCTGTGGTTATGATGAAGTTAAATAAATGAGCGATCGATTTGGACGTTCTTAACAAAAATGTTAGTAAAGTTTACCGTAATTAAGTAATTTTGATAGATTATTTGTTTGGTGTAAATCACAATGTAGTTTCCAGAAAGATGTCGATGACTTGAAGTTATTTTTTCATTAACAGTTGTAAATTTTTAAGTACTCCATTTTTTTATAATACAGTATCCTAAATAAAAAAGTATTTATTTAAAAAAAACAAGTTTAAAAATAGAACAGATTTGCCATAGAGTCTTGCATTTTTTAAAAGCATCGGATGCCAAACTATTCTGCCATGGGCAGTATTCAAATCGTGTTGTGAAATGGTGTAGATCAGATTTTGTCTGTGACCAGATGTGGTGAAACCATGTGTTGCAACTAGCTTTTCGAAAATATTGACCTTTAGACGTTGCACTGGCATTCAAAATAATACATAGCTCATTAACGTTGTCACATTGTGGTTATTTTAGGCTGAGAAACCACTTGATTCATAATTATTAGTAGTAGTCAGTAAGTAAGGTCTATTTAAATTCCATTAATATGATGTAGGTATGTTTTCACAAAAAATATTTTTAATCATTACAAGTGTGGGAGAGCCATGCTTCGGCTTGACCGAATTGATACCAAGTCCTCACAGAAAACCGGCGTGAAACAATCACAGCGTTATGATTCGCCGTGTGGTTGGTTACCGGACGCCCAATCCTTTTTACCCTTCGCCAATCCCTTAATCTACCAAACTCGGCAACGTAACTTACTCGTAACTCATATGGTGTTGTGGGTTATCGTGTCCATAGGCGGTGGCGATTGCTTACCATGAGGTAATCCGTATAATCCGCAGTATGCGGTTCTAAAACGTAAAAAAAAAATGTTAAAAATTCCCCACCTTGGAATTAAGGAAAAAAAAGTGTATTAAAAGAAGGTTTTAAATTCATTTTTAATTCTTTACAGCCAGTAATAATTGACTAATGTATACAAAACTTTATGCAATTAACTATACCTATAGATTATATTTTATTAATGTCAATTCACACGTCATATAAATAAAAATATCGATAAGGTGTTAAAATATCGATTAATTGGTGCCAGGGTTAAGGTCTCTAAAGTTATGAATATATAAGTTATAAAAATATATATAGACAAAATATATTTTTATATTTTCAACCAGTTACGAGTAATAACAATAATTATTATAACTGATTTTTACACAAGACACGCAGATCCTTGAATCATTGTTAAAGTTCATCTTTCCTTCTTCTTTTTAACCGACTTCTTATGATTATAGAAGAGGACAAGTAAATCGTATATCTTAGACACTTTATTTTTTGTATTAATACGGAATAACAAAGAATATGTTTCTATCAAATATTTTCAACAACATTATCTTCTCCATTCCCCAATCTAGGTTTCATGGAAAATGTAATCTTTATGCGGCTAAAAAACGTAGTCGATTTTTTTTAAATATGTCGTTCATAAATATTTTTTCTATATTATTATTGTTACCATCATATTTCTTTTATAATGTCTGCTCTGGTCATCTCTAATAATGTGATACCATGATGAAATAACCGAGGTCCAAAATAATAGACCCGAACACAAGACCAATAACAGAAAATTACTTAAAATTATGGAAAAATGTGCAATTTGTAGTATTTACCAATGAAGCTTTGTCGGTTATTGTCAAAATTGTGATCTACCGATGTATGTCAAGGATAGGCGACGGTGTCCGCTGTTGTAACCGACAGAGGTGGGCAATTAGCAAACATGTTAAACGTCCGTTGTTCTTAAAATTTTATGTTTGAAGAAAAACCCATGTTTATTTTAGTGTGTGAGTCAAACATAAATTATGTCAATTGTACTCCAAGTACGTATGTTTAATGTAGTAAAAAGATTGTAGTAGGTAACCAACTCACTATTAAGCGCTTGTGAAAAAAGTGTTCTAAGATATAAAAGAACATATTTTCCCTGTGCTTTATTTTTGTTATTGGAATCAATTTATCAATCAACGAATTCCTACAAGATTTTAGAAATGTCCTGACTGGATATTGGTCTCTTTAACATTAAGCGGATTTAAATTTTAAACCCCGTTACAAAGATAGTTCTGTTTTCGTTACGGATAATCATCAAATAACCTGTCTGTCTATCTCTCGCCCAGGGTGAGGCGAGGAGTGTCAGACTCTTACTGACTAAAAAACTCCTGTTTCTTTTCCTCCTCCAGGCCCAGGCCGTGATACCTTATTGGGCTAACCCCGCAACCCCGACTGAACTTTAGCCCTGTTGGACCCCGTCTTTAAGGGTCTATTGAGTCTTTGCGCAAGAGACTATCTTATTTATGTTGTATTTATGCCACTTTATCAATTCCACAACATTCTTTTTTCAACAAAATTCTAAAAATGTACGAAGGAGATTGTTTTTTCTCTTTAAGATTAAACAGTGTTACATTTTAAGCCCCATAACAAAGATAGTGCGTTTTGTCTCTTACTAATTGCTAAAGTTATTGTGCACATGAATAATTATATTATTATACCATAGGCGGTCTAGCAACTAGATAAATCGTACATCTACCAAGGAAACATCTCAATTACAAGTGGAGTAGGAAATCGTATCCGTGATTCATGTATATCGAAGAGAGCAAGCCTAACCCGGTCTGAATATTCCACTATGACATAACGTTCTCGCGTGACATTTCTTTCTAAGTCATCGTCTTCCTAGTTATACAATGGTAAGTCAACGTCACGGCCTGCCTGCACTGGTTACTGCCTTCGTTGCCCAAGGCCTCTTGGGTAACCACTAACCGCACTCTTATCTTGTACTTTATTAAGTTACTTTGTAATTGTTTCATGATTAACTTCGTTTTAGAAGATTAGTGCTTGCTTGCTAGTTTTGCGAAAGATTCCGTTTATGGTAGCTACGTAGTTCCAAGTGTGATTGAGATCAAAATTAGTTATCTGGATAAAGTTTCTGAATCATTCATCTCCATACTTTACGGGTTGTTTTTTTGATAGGGTAATCATTAAACTACTTATACCACTTTGGTGGGATAGGGCGACGGGTGTCAGACTCTTACTGGGTAAAAACCACTCCATTCCTACTCCTGCTCCAGGCCGGGCCCGCGGTATATTATTGAGGTTCCACTAACTTTTTTTTCATTGAATTTGTTGTAGTCTTCTAATTTCCAAGCTTTATGAAGAATTCCTTCCTTATTCATTAATCTTGATTCTTAATCTTCATGCAAATAGTTATTCGTGATTGATTATAAATTTACCTTTGTGCAGTCCCTTTTAATATTGCCGACATGCTTTTCCGGAAAGCGCATAATTATGGAATACAATATAACTACAACTCGCTGTCTTTAATAATAAAAGACAGGGTTTATCAATATCCAGTTAAAAAATGGTAAAGGATTAAAAAAAATGTGGGAGAGCCATGTAGCGAGTGATACCACGGCCTCACAGAAATCCGGCGTGAAGTGACACTTAGGTTGTGTTTTGCACTGTGAGTAGGGTTACCGAAGACCCAATCCTTCGCCTCATCGTCAAATCCACTATTCTTAAATCCCTAAAACCCACTAGAGGCCGGTAAAGCACTTGTATTAAATACCTTTGGTATGTCCATGGGCGGCGCTGATTGAAAAATATCGAATACTAGGCACTGCGTATATTTTACTGTGGAAATCATATAGTGCGCATATCGTTATTACGTCTCAGGTCAAGTTAAAGTTCGTGTGAACTTGAGTAGGTACATTTTTATCTATCACAAGTTCGGTATTTACGTTTTAGATCGACGAATTAATGAATGAAAAAGCGTAGCTATTGCTTTGTTCATTTTTTAATAGTACGTGTAAATAATGTTCTACAGATTTAACCGCCGGCATTTCTATTCAGCCTTATTTTCTCTTTAGTAACTAAAATACTTTTTTTTATTTATAAAGGGATGTATTTCTTTGTGGGTATCACCGCTCGATTGGATACTCATTTCCTTAGATTCCCTTACATAATATTAAACAAGTACATCTATTTTAATGTCAACTTTGCAACTTCTAGATAAAGTACTTCAAATTATATCATCAATTTAAATTATCACACAGATTCGATCACATTGAATATGCGTGAATATTTAGAGGTCAATAACCTACCAGAGAGGTTTATTGATAATTATGAATCATTTAAACTAAGACATACCTAATATGAACTTCTGTTTTGGTGGCTAATCTAACGATACTGAAAATTTCCATTAATTCTGTTATTTTGTTTAGTTTATATATAATTATCTCACTCATTGCTAGGCTTCTCTCGATTGGTCATTTCAGACATAAACTAATAATTTTGTAACACCAGATGTTCAATCCCTTTATCTACTT